CATCTTACGTTTCAAAATGTTTTCTTAATGGGGTTTATTAGTCTCATTTTGTAGGAAAATTTCTCTCTTATGTCGTACTCACAAACCAACAATGGAACCCACCAAAATAAGATAGAAAAAAAATAAAATGGATCCAATATTATTTTTTAGTGTGCAGGGAACAGATCTGTCTTATGTGACAGATGAAAAGTAAAACCCTTTCTTAATTGCTATGATAATGTTACGTTTTCAAATATATGAACATAGATGAGTTTGCTCGTGTGAAGTAAGAAGTTATACTTCATACTTTATACCTTTTTATAACAATTTTTTTTAGGGAAAAGATCAAATACCACTTATGATCTGTCTTTAAATCATTTACCTCCTATAATTTTTTTTTAATTATTTATCCCCATGTGTTTTTTTTATCCAAATTTTTTGTTAGAATTTTTAATTAATATGACTATTCTATCCTTCTTACAAAGATACACTTTAGTTACCTTTTGTCGTCTTCTTCCCCAAACTTTGCAAGAGTGTTTATATTATACAAATTTTTTTCAATTTCAAACAAAATTTGTAAAGTTACTGTAATAAGGTAATGAGAACAAAAAGCCAAATAAACCATTAAAAGTTAAACCTGTATAGTTGAGCCATTATAGGTGTAGTTGAGCTAGCCATTATCTTTTGGCACAAAATTTTGCTTTAATTAATAGCTTTCATTGACTTATAGTTTACTCTATAAAATACTAACCAATTACATAAAGATACATTTAATTGTATAATGTAACTACATTTCATTTTTTTTTTGGATAATGCAACTATAAATTTCTAATTTTTTAAGATATATTACATATTTAAATTTCTCTTTTCCTCCTTATTTGATGATTAAAGATATTTTTTCACTTTTTTTTTTGCACATTCCATTTTCTCGTAAAAAAAATCTTTGGCATATTTTCCTTTGGGTTCTTTTTTTTCTTGTTATTGTAAACAAAATCTTCTTATGCCACTGATTATAATTATATAATCCGGAGAATATATAGTTATGATATGAAAATTATTTTTTTTCTCTTTCCACATTATCCGACAACTTCTGAAGAGAGAAAGAAAAAAAAAAGAGTTTTAATATTATAACTATGTATTCCGAAAAGTACATAATTATAATCGGTGGTGAAAGAAGATTTTTGTGCAGCAATAAAAAGTAGATTTCCCTTTGGTAGAATCTTTTACAATCTCTATGAATAAGATTAAGCCCGTCAAACTTAATTTTTGTGCAGCAATAAAAAGTAGATTTCCCTTTGGTAGAATCTTTTACAATCTCTATAAATAAGATTAAGCCCGTCAAACTTAAAGCTTCAATCTTTACCTTAAGCCATTATAGGTAGTTGAGCCATTTTTTGGCACAAGATTTTATGCATAAAATATTTGCAGCAAACGGGAAAGGAAAATTTACAACACTTTTACAGGAATTTCACAAATTTTATTTAAAACTTGAGAAATTTTGTATGGTAAAACATTCTTGCAAATTTTGGGGTAGAAGATGTCACAAGGTAGCTGAAGTGAATCTTTATTAAAAGGGTAGAATAATCATATTAATTAGAAACTCTTAAAGAGAGACTTGGATGAAAAAAAGTAAAAGGGGGTAAATTATTAAAAAATATAAGGGATAGCTAGCTAATTAGGCAAACCACAAGGGTATTTCAACTTTTCCCTTTTCTTTATCGTTGCCTCAAATTTAAATTAATGGTTTTATTTTATTAATATGATTTTAATCAAAAAAAAATTTAAAATATAACCAAATGTCTAAACATTTGGCGAAAGATCCAAGTTATCAATTGAAAAACTCTTCCGGATATTATAAAGAATTTAATATACATTAATTATAATAGGGTGTCTTTTTACTTTTACATTTTCACTCTTGAGCGTTATCCTTGACTGTTATGATTTATTAGATATTTGAGCGGTTAAATATAAGCAAATCAGTGATCAAAATATCAAGATTTTGTGTAATTTTTGATTTATTAGATATTTGAGCGTTAAGAAAATAGACTAGATATATACTTAAACCCAGTGTTATGAAACTCGGGCCAACCCGAAACTCGACGAACTGGTTATTGGACCAGTTCGAGTCAAGCATCGGACTCGGTCAAAATCTGGCCAAACCCGGTAACCTAGTCGGGTCATGCATTTTATTAAAAAAATAAAAAATGTTTTATCTTGTCAGGTACAAGTGTATAACTCATTTTAATTTTTTTTGTAATTTTATTTGCTAGTAGTATACTCTTCTACAATAATCTCAAATTTCAACTTCTAATACGGAAGTAATTTGCGAAACAATAAATTAAGAAAATATGATATGTCATTTCAATGTAGATGAATTTGAATATGAGTTCACAACATATGACATCTTGAATGTCATTGAGAGATATGCTTATGGGGATTCTGAGTTGCAGTTTTTTTTTTTTTTTGATAAACAAGAGTTGCAATTTAAATTGACATAATAATAACTTGCATTTTTATTTATTTGTGCTTTATGAACTTGTAAAAGTGTGATTGAGTAATTTTTGAACTTATTTAGTGAGCCTTGTTTAACTTATTTTAAATATGAAAAATATAATTAATTTATATGTTCATATTTATATATATTTTTATATATATCCGGGTCAACCACTCCGACCAGTGACCCAATAACCTAATACCTCGACCGAATCGATACCCGAGTCAGATTTAATAACACTGCTAAACCCCCTACAAACCCTATGTGCAAAACTTTTTTTTTTTTTGTTTATAACATTTCACATTTTATAAAAAGTTATTTTGATTATTGGCTCTTGAAAAACTTTTCTTCAACTGATATTATTAAACGGGCATCAGTTTTCTCGTTGAACTGATTTTAAAATTTATTATTTTTTTAAAAAGATAATTTCATATATGAGATTCAAATCTATCATCTAATGAACAATATATATAACATTAATCATTAAGCCACAACTATTTAATTTTTATAGTCCTTTTATTATTTTAATTTTTTTTATATAAGTAAAAATCGAACACACAATTTAATACAATATATCCAAATTGCTCACTACTAAACGACTTTTATTTTATATTCTTCTATATAAATATAGTTGAAGCAGTTGAACCATTGATTCATTAATTTTAGTTTGTGACCCATTATCTCATTAGAGTGGATGACTGAGTTTAATAATATGAGTTTTACGAATCCAATAACAACCTTTTTGTGGATTAAAATGATGACGGACTCTTTTATTTTACTTGTATTATTTGGACAATATTACCCTTTCATATATAATCTGAAAAAAATTATGGAATGGATTAGCTTTTAAATACTTTGAACTAATATTACCATTTCATAGATATATTTGGACATATGCTAATATGATGGAATGGATTTGCTTTTAGATACTCAACTAATATTTTGATAATATTACCCTTTCGTAGATATAATTGGACGTATTCTTCCCCTAAAAAAGAATTAGTTAATATGACATTAACATTGTGGTCCTCAATTATAAAATAGGTCTACTCTATCAATCAATCAAGTGAATTAATTAATATTTTCAAGAATTCATATGAGTATAATTGAAGATTAAAATTATGATAAAATATATACACATGTGTAACAACCCACGAAGTTGTAAATATTTATTTTCTTAATGTTTTAATTAACAATTATAGTTTTACATTTTATCTTACAAAATACACCATTGACCATTCACTTTGAAAGAATTTTAAATCTTATTTCCAATTATTTAAATCAATCAATATTGAGAAGCAACCGATCAACTAATATTGAGAGACGACATTATTATGAAATCATATAAAAAATTTTAAGTAAATACACTAGTTGTCTCTTTATTCTAATTTAGTTCAGAAAAAAGCTTTTGTCAAATCAAAGGTGTAACATATTGGTAAGACTCCAGGTAAACTGAGTACGTGGGGTAAAAACATATCTTTAATTCTCTTCAGTATCGTATTTGGGAGAGGTTTAAAGTCTTAATCCCGATACCTGTTTCGAATCGGACTAGTCGTGAAGCGATGAACCGATTGAAATATCTAAAAAAAAAAGTGTAACATATCGGTAGTAGGGGTGGCAATTTGGGTTGACCCGACCCGCCCCGCCCCGTCACCAACCCGCCAAAAACGGGACGGGGCAGGTTGACCCGTCAAAAAATATGGGTTGAAAAAATGAACCCACCCTGTTTTATGGTGGGTTGACGGGTCAACCCACCAACCCGCCAATTAAAAAAAATTAATTAAAATTTAAAAAAAATTATATTTTATGAATTTTTTAATATTATTTTATTTTATTTCTCACTTCTCTATATTTTTTTAGTCTCAATCTTAAATGTATACTAATATTTGTCAAACATTCTTTAAGAATTTATATATAGATAACATTTGTCCTAAATAAAATTATTATTCTTTATTTTTTCTAGGAAGTACTAAGATAAAAGAAAAATTTGGATATCACAAAAATTTAAGGACTAATGAAATACTACCTAATTGTAAAAAAAATTATAACCCAGCGGGTTGAACCCATTTTGACCCACTTCTAGGCGAGGTGGGTTGAAAACCTCAACCCAACCCGCCCCCTTTTGGCGGGTTGTCCTGCCGGGCTCAACCCATATTGTCACCCCTAATTGGTAGGACTCAAGGTAAATAACTTGTGAGATGGCGTGTTAGGGATATATAAAACCATTAAAGAGTCATTCATTTAACAACTTAAATTTTTGGGTTGAATTAATTCTTTACAATATTGGTAGAACTAAGGTAAACAAAAATAATTTTTTCTTTTTTTTCTAATCCCTTCTTCCTCAATCAAGATAAGACTCAATTTCAAATCTTCGTCTTTATGTTCAAAAAAAAAGAATTGAATATGGACAAATAAAGAAGTTAATTTGCTAGCTCCAAAAAACAGATAACTATTACATTACTTCAAATCAACATCAACTGTCACCCATAAAATCACACAAGAGGGAAGCCAACACCAACCACAAATTCTTTTCAGTTAGAGAGCAAGGATATTCTTGAGAGGAAGCAATACATGGGTTCCCAAACACAGTCCCAACTTCATCTTGTTGACTTCACTAATGAAAACATGAAACCCGGCACTGATGCATGGCTTTCAGCCTGCCATGTTGTGAGGACTGCACTAGAGGAACATGGTTGTTTCGTGGCACGCTATGATAAATTAGGCAAAGAGCTTTGTGACTCTGCTCTCTTGGCAATGGAAGAACTATTTGGTCTCCCAGTGGAAACAAAAGTCCAAAAGACTAGTGAAAAACTTTTCCATGGTTACTTAGGACAAGTCCCCTGGCTTCCCTTGTATGAATCTTTGGGCGTTGATGATCCGTTGACTATGCAGGGATGTCAAAAATTCACCAACATTATGTGGCCTGAAGGAAATGATCGTTTTTGGTAGGTACCCTTTTCAAGTTTCAACACATATGTCAAGTAATTGCATGATGATATATATATATAACTTTGTTTATATTTGTGATGGTGAACAAAATTGCTCATGGTAGAGGTTTTATTTTGTATATATAGTGAAAGTGTCAATGAGTATTCTAAGATTTTGGGAGAATTAGACCATATGGCGAAGAGAATGGTGTTTGAGAGCTATGGTGTGGACATGCAACGATGCGATTCTTTAATAGAATCAAGCAACTATCTCCTCAGATGCATCCAATACAGAACACCCCAGATGGATGAAAATGATTTGGGAATGCATTCTCACTCGGACTTGACCATCATATCCGTGTTGCATCAGCTGAATAATCTAAGTGGCTTGGAAATCAAAATGAAGGATGGGGAATGGGTCGGGGTTGGTGCCTCACCCTCCTTGTTTGTGGTCATGGCTGGAGATGCATTCAAGGTGAGTATGCCACTAATCATCCATCATATACTTAAAAACTTAATTGACTAAAATTGAAAATCAAATAATAATGGAGTGCTTTTATCGGGAATGAATTTTCTCATGTAACATGAGGTCATATAAGAATATCTTAGTTGTTCAATACATGAATAAGAGTGTATGACTGGTCAGACTTAGTGTATTTTGTAGGTTTATAAGAAAAAAAAATTGTAAATATAACCTTCCCCTTAATTTATATATGAATATTTGAGATCATCATGCCAAATATGAGATGATCCATTCGTGATTTTTAGTTGACACATAATTAATATACCATTTTGTTAGGCTTATCTTAATTAGATGCATTTTCATGGCATAGGTGTGGAGTAATGGTAGGATACGCCAATGTGAACACAGGGTAATAATGAGTGCAAAGGAAACTAGATACTCCACGGGACTATTTTCTTTCACTGGCAAAGAGATGCAGATACCGGAGGAGCTAGTTGATGAGCAACATCCCTTGCGTTATAAACGAATATTCGACCATTATGAATACCTTCGTTTCTATGAAAAAGAGAAAATCAAAGAACCTGAGACTCGACTCGAAGCGTATTGTGGAGTCTGAAGCCTGCGCTAATATGAAAGAGTAGTTCATGCCAAGTTGCTCTTCTCTATGAATAAGAAATTGGAATATAGGAGTTGGTTGCTGCCTTATGTGTGCTATTCTAAATGTATTTCACTTTTATTTTTTTTTAAGAAAAAAAATTGTGGGCTACCATGTAAATGATTTGTGCTTATGTGTGATCTTGTTTAATGAATAATAATGGAGTCTGAGGTTATGTTTATTGTTCTTGTTTAATGAATGATAATGGAGTGTACGTACGAACATAACGTGTTCATCAATGTAATTCCATTTTTTTTATCTCGATAATAATTATTTTTTGAGACGAGTCGGCTCTCTTGGTTTCCCCACAAGCTTCAAAGATAATTATGAGATTAATTCTGAGTTGGCTTAGTTATAGTTAAAGCTACTCGTCCATTCTCAAAAATATATTTTGTGAGTATCGAACTCAGATTCTCTTCAATTAGCATGTACTGTCAACTGAGTCACATTCCAATTAATAATGATTAAAATTTTTATTATGTTTAATCATTAATTACTCTTTAAAGTGGAATTTATTAGAAAAGCATAATTATATCTTGAACAAAGTCATTAGCACATGCAATTCTTTTTTTAAATGCAAATGAAATTACATGCACTTCAATTGCCAACCGTGACCGTGAACAAGTGAAGACAGTCAAAGATAAAGGACGGGGAGCCTTCTCCGTACATGTTTGATTTTTTTTTTTTTTGTGTTTTTTGAATATGAATAAAAAAGAAATTCTCAATTAACTAACCTACTAAAATCCTTTATCCAATTTTTAATTTTCTAGGTTCTCATAATTGAAAAAAAATATAGGTCAGGAGAAATTAAGAAAATTATGATTTACCTTTATTCTTCTTATAAATAATACATCTACAGTTAAAATCTATACACTTTCTTTACTCTAACTAATTTTAGAGAGAGAAGTTAAACTAGTTTGAATTTTATCCTAAAGTACTGTGCATAAGGTAAACATAAGATGGTGTAGAAATAACATTAGCCTATTCTTGTTTCTAAATTGTTTGTTGGAATATAATACTTACTTTTCAATATATTACATTATTCATTTACAGCGGCGGACGCAGGAATTTTAATAAGAGGGAGCGAAAATAAAAAATATTATATCATAAATAAAAGTACTTGAAATACAATACAAACTTAATATACAAAAAATTGAAAAAAATCTATTACTGAAATTAATATTACTTCACTTACTCTTGATCTACGTGTTTTCATATTATTAAACTCATATATAATTGAATCCGTGCTAAAACTCAAAATAATTTCTTTTTCAATGTATGTAATCAAAGATAGTCTATGACTATACATACATGCAATGATCTTAGGAAGGTAGAAGTTGATTCTGCCTGGCTCTAGAATTTACACAGCCAAAATCGAAAGGCTGAAGCAGTGGCGGAGCCGGGCTCAAATTTGAGACCGGACCAAAAAATTATACGTGTATTAATTTTTTTAATTTTAATTAGTTCATATCATAATATTTAAATGGGGAACGGATTCGTTTACAAATATTTTTAAATTTTTTTGCAAATTATATTATATACTTCTGGAAAACATAGTGTAACTTTTCTGGGAGTATTAGTTTGTAAACAAAAAATTTGTAAATATAATCCTTCCCATTTAAATTATATAAAATACAGAGTACCTGAGCAGGCAGTATCAAAAAGAATTATAATTTTATTATTTTTTTTATAAAAGTAGAAATTGAACACATAACCTAATACAACTTACCCAAATCTCTTGCCAAAAATATTTTAAGTTTTAGATAGGGCCAAATTATAAATTGTAGTCCGGGTCAAATTATAATTTTAACCCGGATTAAATTATAATTAATTATATAATTATATATAATAAGTATAATTTGTTAAAATTTAGCCCTGGTCGGGACCACACCCAGAAGGTATGTGGCTCCGCCACTGGGCTGAAGAAGGAGGTTGGTGACGGACAGAACACAGAAAGGAGAGAGAAGATGATATGATGTTCTCAAGGAAAAATATGGGTAAGAGTGTGGGCAGAAACATGGAAACTGAAAGAAAAAATATGTACAACACAGTAATTTTATCATCACATTTTTCTACATATATTATAAAAAAAATTCCCAAATTTTAGAGGGGGCGGGGGCCCACCCTAGCCCCCCTACTGGGTTCGCCCCTGTTCACTTAGTGTAAATAAAAAATATAAATAATTTATTACTATGATTTAATTTCCCATATTTTCCTTTTTCACTTTGAACATAACGACAAAAGGAAAATTATCTATTGAGACACCCCTCAAATCCTCAATCTCTCTGTTTCTTTTTTTGTTCTTCCTTTCCCTTTCATTTGCTTTCATATATAGGGTGTGTTTGGTACAGGAGAAATTTTTATGTGTCAGGGAATCATGATTTTCAGTAATATAATGAGAAATTCAGTTTACCAGAAATGGTATAAAAAAGTTGTTTGGTAGACGTAAATATTACTGGAAATATTTAATAATTTTACTGAGTATATGTTTGGTTGATAGTATAATATTACTGGTAATATATGATGATTTTACGAAAGTAACCTTAACTTTTCTCTTGTTGGGAAGACAAAAACCAAACCTAGGTTTTGATGTGAGCCGAGGTGTTTTTGTCTCACATTTTCTTTTTCTACTTTCTCTTTCAGTTGAATTCAAAAATACCATATAATTTGTGATAATCTGAAATCCTCGTTTTCTTTGTAAATCAGATTACTAGTAAACGAAGGTTACTAGGCAATTGATTTTGTTAGCTTAAACCAAACATGACAATTCACGTTTACCAATGTAGCTTTACCAGTAATCTTCAGAAATACCTCGTACCAAACACACCTATAGTTCCTTCCCTTTCTATCCATGCTCCCAATCCCAAACATAACTTTCTAGCCTAGCTTATTTTTAACCGATTTATTTTTTTGTTTAGTGTGCCATTTGTACTCAGTAGTACGTTTATTATTTATGTATATAGATCTCGCCAAGACTTAAAGATAAGGACATAGAATATAAAAAAGACAACCAAATGGAGGTAGCTCAGTTGGCGCATGGGAGCTGAGCAAGTGGGAGTGAGAACATGTGTTTGATCAGTATTATCTTTGGGAGGGATTTAAAGTCTAAATCCTGAATCAGTCCCGATTCAAACTAGTAGCAAAGCGATCAAATATTTCCAAAAAAAGAATATAAAAAAGGACTCTTCTTTCTTTATCATAAGATTTTTTTTTCATTAAGATAGTATGCGAAAAAAATAAATTAGTTTTTGGTTAGAGATAGTATGGCAAAACGATCGTACTAGCAACAATTTGCAAATGTATCTCCAGGTTAGAGCATATTTGCAATGTTTCACCAATATAGAGAAGTCAAACGCCTCAAGGTTGATGACGAGATCAATCCCGTCAATGTACACAACGTGATTCCCTGCCACGTCTGAAAGCATGCAAGAGTCTCGTCCCCAATGCTGACGTGTCACAGTCAGCATCCACGTGGATCCCGCCAACTTATGTGACGTGACAAGGTGCCGTCACTTCATTTGACGGGACTCTTCCACTCGTGACCTCCCTCCCTCCCTCCCTTCTTCTCCTATTTCTGATTTATCCCTCATCTCTGTACGCGTTTTCCTTCTTCAAGTCTGACTGCGTTTTTGTTATCGTCTGCTTGCTTCCTCCGTCGTCTTCGTTACAGGTATGGTTGAAATGTATTGTACATATATTGTGTTATACTACTTTAAAATGGATGTTTATGTAACCCTTAAACCCTAGGATAGAGAGGTTAATTTTAAACAAAAATGGCATGCAGCTCCTAACTTTCCTTGCATTGTTGGTAGAATTTTGTCGGTAGAAAATAAATACATATTGCAACTGATAGAAAATAAAATATTATGAAGCACTGAGTTAAAAATATTAAATGCAAAACTAGAAACAACATATTCTAAGAAAATTGCGACATATTAAGCAATTCATTCTCGGATCCGGAGAGTCTATATATACCCAATTTGGTAAAGTATTCTCGTAAGTGTCAGTAACGGGACCACCTGTGTATGTACTTGATATGGGTCTTTCTCACCACGGGTTTCGCGTGGCCACCAACAGCTATTCTCGTCAACATAGTTGACGGTATTCATCACATGTGGCATGGGTTTTGTAGTTGCGTCACATTAGATGGCGGGACCCTTTACACGTGGCAATGTAATCTTCTCACATAAGGTGACGGGACCAATGCTGACTGTGTCACGTCAGCATTGGTGACGGGACTGTTGCATGCTTTCGGACGTGGCAGGGAATCATGTTGTGTACATTGACGGGATTGATCTCGTCATCAACCTTGACGTGTTCGACTGCTCTATATTGGTGAAACATTGCAAATCTGCTCTCATTTGGAGATACATTTGCAAAATGTTGCTAGTACGATCGTTTAGCCAAGATAGTATATATCGTAACCAACCAAAAAAACTAGAGAGAGAGAGATAGTATTCATATATGGGGATGATTATATTTATAAATTTTTTGTTTACAAATTACACTATGTACTCCCGGAAATACACTAGGTTACACTATCTACTTCCGCGAGTACATAGTGTAATTTGCAAAAATTTATAAACGGATCATTCCCCTTATATATATATATATATATATATATATATATATATATATATATATATATATATATCACATTAATTAAACTTTAAATATTTATAAGGTCTGTTAAATTTGGCAAAACATTGCACTCTCGTCATACGCCATAAAATAAGATAACTCTAATGAAAATCTTAGTTACGAAATTCTGAATAGAGCTAGGTAGTTGAACTTCCCATCCTTGAAATTATTGGTTAATGAGAAAACAAATCCTCCCACCAAATTTACTTATGTCTATGAATTAATATTTAAATTTACAAAACTCATGTTAAGTCAGTTCTTCTCAAGGACTAAATTGAGATACAAAATTTACCAAAAAAAAAGATTGAGATACACAAAGACTAACGTAATGAGTTTTATAAATTTAAGAATTAACACACTCACATATATACTGCAAGTGAAGAATAATTTTAAGAATTTTTCTGTCTATATACTTTTTTATTGTCATCAACGTGAGAAATACATTTTCATTATTAAATATTTGAGTTTTTTCTATTTCATATCATGTTATAATTTAGTGTCTTATTTACATCTAAGGCCTCCGGGATGACTAAAGTATCAAGTTTGAGCGATTGAGTGCTTATACAAAATTTGAGGTTGGAGCCAGTAAGAAAATAGTTACTTGAAGTGATAGTTTCAATCTCTAAAACGGGATTAATCTCACACTCGAAAGAGTTTGAAAATACTTGATAAAGAAAAATAATAATCTAAATTAGTAACCACAAGGTATGGCTAAGGATGCATAAATTACAATAATTAATTAACTTTCCAAACACCCCCTTAACATTATTATTAGGAAAAAAAATATAGCTACGCACCCACAATTATATGCACATCACCTCATATTTATATAGTTTTTATTATTTAATTATAATTAGCTCTATCTTATTTTCTTTTCACCCCTTGTACTTTAATGCTATTATATATATACCTCGAAGATGAGAGGATTGTGTTCTTTAGATATGTACAAGAAGCATTTTTGTTTAGGAAATAGGAATATCATAAGGTTGCAGTATAATATGCGTATAAACGTACGTCATCGGATACAAAACGACAGAGAATTTTGTATTTAGCAGACGTAGTACATAGGACAAGGGTTTTTCTTCCAATGAAAATGATATATTTGCCATGAAACAATGATTTTATTCCAAAATATAAAACAAAATATAAGAGACGGGAGTGGTCCTAAAAAGCGGTCCAGGAGTAGGGGTCCAACAATATACATGAAGATAATCACCAAAAATTGGGACCAGAAAATGAAACAAAATATATCAATTGATTAATAATTATAGCAGTACTTTACTAATAATCAATATCTATAATTATAGTATAAGAAGATAAAAGCTGTCCAGTTGTAGGGGACCTAAAATTATTAATTCTTTTTAACAAGTTTCTATCAATTGATCAATAATTATAGCTGCATGTAACTAATAATCAATTTCTATAATTATATATAGTAATAGTACATGACCTTCCCCGGGCATTCAAGAAAATCAGAAACAAACACGTTATAATTAATGTGGTCCAGAAAACAAATAAAACCATAAGTTAATGCCCAAGTGATAAATAGTATTTTCGTTTGAAAATTTTATCTCTTTTTACCATCATATATTTTATGTAAATATTGGGTTTGGATGATTATATTTTGGTTAAGATAAAAGAGAAACATATGGTTAAATAAATTCATTAACAAAGACGAAGTTGGAACCAAACCAAGCCTTGAAAGAGGTGTTGTGCCCCGTGCCTTTTAAAAAATTATAATATAAAATTATTAATATCTTAAACTTTTGCATTGAAATAATTCCTTATATAATATCAGAAATCTCATGAAAAAATACTCAGGATTTGCAGTACCATTACCATTCCCCTGAACAAAAACGAAGTAAATAACTAGAAACAAAATCGATATCTCGCATCAAGGATATTACTTTTAAAAACAATGTATAATGTTGAAACCCGTCTATACTAAGTAATTAACCATTTAAAAGTGAATTTGAGATGAGAAAAGTCTCTCCCATTTAAATTTTACAAATCCCCTGCGATACTTAAATTTATACCTAACTCACGCATTGTCACATACAAATATAGGATTATATCGAATTATTGGTCTTGTCAATTACCATAGTGTCTCATTATGAGTTGTTAAATGTTAATATTAATAAGAATGGACCGAAGTTATTCCGACCTTAAGACGAATATCATTCTTCTTCATTAAAGATATATGAAATAATTTATTGATTAATCTGATACGATTAGGAAAGGATGAACAAGAATTTTCTTTGCAGATGAATCAAGACACCCAAAGGAAGAAAACAATAATACTTCTCTATCCCTGTCTTCATTTCATATTTATTGTTTATTAACATTATCCTAGTTTTTTTTTTATACTAACCTAAATTATCTCTTTAAGACGAGTCAATCCCTTATGTATCCTCACAAACTTCAACTCTTTGAACTAACTATAAGACTAGTTTCGAGTCGAAACTTACTCACAATTAAAACTCATCGCTCCTCTCCAAAAATATATTTGTTGAGAATGGATTTTATTGTCACTTACTCAGCATGTGTTGCCAACTGAGTTACACTCTTTCCGTAACAATAACATTATCCTGGTTTTTAAGATATGTAAAGCCACCATATTATATTCTCATCCTTCTTTGTTTTGGAGTTGCAAGCGTTGTAAGGGTGGATAATGGAAATTAGTAGCTAGGGGGAGTACCTAAGTACTAAAGAATTGAACTAATGTCAATTGAACTATAAGCTCCTTGGCCACGTGCAGAGCTGTTGACTCCGATATATTATAAATACGATGTATTAAAAAGAAATAAAAAATAAATTAACATCATTAGTTGTCTGTTTGACAGATACAAAATACTCAACAGTAAGCACAAGTGCAGTACTAGGTACGCATATGGCTCTTTGTGGAAAAGCCCACTGAAGCACAAATATCTACTGTACAACAGTAAGGGTATGAAGAATTCATAAATATGAATTATTCCCCATGTTGCAGCATACAAATCCTAAAATACAGTAATTTCACAATATTCACGGCAATGCAGCATAACCTAATCACCAGAAGAGTCATCATCATTATACAGTTATGCTAGAAGCCAAGAACTCACCTTATTAGGCTGGAACAGTTTTTGTTTTGACCCCAATTTTTTTCCAAGAAACACTAGGCATAATTTGTTTTGTGTCAACACGATCTTTGTACTGAATAGCAAAGTTGAGCAGTGAATCAATGAGAGAATCTGATAGAAGGTGTGGCCTCAGTCCCAGCTCAACTAGTTTAGTGTTCTTGCAATTGTAGTAATGCTCCTCTAACTCCACTCTTGGGTTAGGCACAGATATAGTTTTCACATCAAGGCCCAGCTTCTCACCAGCTTTTGTAACAAGGGTGGCAAGTTCATTGACTGAAAACTGCTCAGTAAATTGATTGAAGACTCGGAACTCCCCAGGCTTTGCAGGGTTTGCAATGGCGATCTCAACACATTGAACTGTATCTCTTATGTCAAGGAAGCCCCTAGTCTGAAATATGTGCATTATAAAATACAGACAAAAAATTAGCAGCAGAGCATTTCATAAAATTTTCCCATAGACACAGATCAATTCGACTAATTTAGGAAGAAAATTAAAAGAATATAGAGCAAAAAAGAAACAAACCATGCTATTAGAATCTCAACAGAACAAGGTGCACATGGTGGTGAGATAAAATCCAACATATAATGATGCATAAGAGTGGGAGAGGCTAAATACAGTTATCATCATTAACTCAGATATCTAGAGTGAGTTGCAACAAATACCGAATGAGGTTAACAAAAATGAGGACTAGACCATGAGGGATGAATAAAAAAAGAATAGAATCCAAAAAGCTGCTAACTTTCAACTGTTCACTATTTCCTGCATTATAATATCTTAGGAGCAACTGATGCTCAGAGAAGTGAGTTCATATCTTCAGATAGTTGCTGCAATAATCTGTGACATGCCAAATGCAACTCCAAAACCACATAGGAATCTTTAAGCTAAAATCATGTGCGGCCACACACCTATGCAGGAAAAGGGGGAAAGGGAAAGAGAGAAAAAAAAAAAAGAAGGGGGGGGGGGTTTATTGACAGACAATATTGTTAACTGTATATAGTAAAACTGAAAGAAAATACAAGTGCAAGTGTTACTGGATTGCATTTAATTAAAATAAATAATTTGCTTGTAAGGCTTATACACTGATTTCAATTGATCATATCACTTGAACACTCAATTTTTAAGACACATAAGACAGGAAGAGGAACTTCCTACTTGTTGGTGTATTACCATGCATTATACTAGCAGTATCACTTTCCAATAACAAGAAAATGTTTGCAAACCACAACAAAGTGGCATGCATATCTCATCTCGTATCTCTTCACCATAAGGAACTTTATGGTAATAATAATCCATAATTAAATATCCTGACTATCTAAATAAGAAAGTAATTCAAACAGGAAATGAACTGAAAGAAACAGAACTCCTAGACACTGACAGATCTAGACCTAAAGTTTTGAAGGGGTCATAAAACCTCTTCTTTGGAGATCAAGCCTTACACAAATTTTGCTACATGTGTGCTTCTCTTATAAATAAAACAATTCTTTAAAATCTTTAATTGAAATAAAATATTTTAAGTATTAGAATAATTAACTAGTACAATATTAATAAAAATACAATGATAACTATAAACCACTCCCCATTGCATATTTGCAAAGAGGCAATTTTCTGGATTTGAACCCACAACGAGAACTATAATTGAAAAAAAAATAAAAAAAAATACATTTATTTGAAATATTACTCTTTTGAAAACATAAAGTATTAATAATTCTCTCAAAATTTAAAATAAAATTCATGTATATATGTAATTTAAATCACCATATTGTCTAGAATAAATTCGCTTGAACTTTTATACATAATATGGTTAATTATATTCGTCACTGAAAATGATCTCTATGATGCAATTGTAAATAATTGAAAGTTAAGATGTGATCAACAGGGGTGTTAAATGAATCAGTCGGCCTAACAGGGACTTACAGCTCGGCCTATTACATACAGTCAAATATAATAGGCCCAGGCTTCAAAAAAGTCAATTTAGAAAGCAAGCCATAGGCTTTCTTGAACATATTGGGTCTATAAGCCTACAGCGCAGCTTATATTATAATTTATTTTAAATAAAATAAATAAATTATTATTTTAATGATTTTGAATAATAAAGTAATATTATTTTTATTTTTTTTAATGAGGAAGGTTATACTTACAACCTTTTTTTTTCTTACAACCATATCTAAACACCGTTAATTTTCGCCAATCAATGGTTATCATTTATTGTGAATTAAAAATTAATTAATGAGTTTAATTTGTGAAAATCATAACCGTTGATTGGCGGAAATCAACGGTGTTAAGATATGGTTGTAAGAGGTTGTAAAAAAAAAAGTTGTAAGTATAACCTTCCTCTTTTTTAATTATTGAATGCCTGATAGACTTAAACAGGCTAACAGGCCTAGGCAAAGGCTTTTATTTTTTAAATATAGGTCTAGCCAAACTTATAATTTGGACCTACACAGACTAACAGACCAGGTCAGCCCTAAAGTATTTTACACAGGTCTAACCTATTTAAGTCAAAGCCTAACCTAGCCTATTTACACCCCTAGTGATCAACCAATTGATCAATCAAGTAGTATTTGTTTGATTTCTCTTTCTAGCAATTTTGACACAATTTAGGATTGTGTTAATGTTCATAATAAGTTGATGGATTAGTAAAAGTAATTGTTGTGGCCTGTTGAATTAGGTAATTATATAGAATCAATAAACATATCGAATCAATTTGCATTATGTGAGGTAATAAATTTTTATAAGTATTTCCTATAATTACTAATACTTTTAATTTCCAAAGAAAAATGTGGAACACATCTAAGAATCTCCATCAATGCTTTAGGATTCTACTCAAGTTGTCTAATACAAACAATATAAACACTTCCTGATTCAAAATATTCCAAAATTTATGCCCTTGACACAACAATCATCAAAAGTTTTTTCTACTTATCAACAAGAAAAAAGTAAATAGATAGGTAGGTTACCTGGCCTCCTTTCCCATATACAGTAAGTGGATGATCAACAGCAGCCTGAACACAGAACCGATTCAATGCAGTTCCAAATATTCCATCATAATCAAACCTGTTACACAGCTCTTCATGCATTGCAGTCTCATCTGTTCTTACCCCATATACAACTCCTTGATTCAGATCAGTTGCTCGAATCCCCCAAGCTTTGCAAGTGAAGGCTATGTTATGTGAATCATGTACCTTGCTTAGATGATAGAATGAGCTAGCTTGCTTGGGATATGGCAAAGTGTCTGTCCTTCCATTGTGAGTAATGGTAATATAACCTTCCTCAATATCAATATTTGGTGTCCCATATTCACCCATAGTCCCAAGCTTAACTAGATGACACTGCTCTCTGAACTCTTTTATAGCAAAGAGCACATTCAGTGTCCCAATTACATTGTTTTGCTGTGTATACACAGCTCTTGGTCGATCTATCATAGAGTAAGGAGCAGATCGCTGTTCCCCAAAATGGACAACAGCATCAGGTTCAAATGACTTGAAGGTTTCAGATAAGAACTCAAAGTCACATATGTCACCAATGTAGAGCTCAATACTTTTTCCAGTGAGAGATTTCCAACATTGAAGCCGATTCTGGATGGAGGAAATTGGTGTTAGAGAATCCAGTCCAAGCTGGTGATCAAAAAGGCGTCGAACGAGGCTGTCAACAATGGCAACCTCATAACCCTTGTTAGAAAGATGGAGGGCAGTTGCCCAACCACAGTATCCATCTCCACCGATGACCATGACTCGCTGTGGTTTAAAAGGGTCACCAGAGCTAGTTTGAACTGGGGCTTCCTGGCTAGTTGAAACTGCAGCAGCACGTACTACTACAAAACTTTTTCTTGGCTTTTGTTCTTGCATGAAAAGCCTTTTAAATAGAGGTCTGGAATTATTGCAAGCAACCAAGTTAGAAAATGATGTTGAACATTGGTTGAAAGGTTTTAAATAAGGTTTATTTCTAGCGGAGATAGTCAAGGAGCAAGAAGATGATAGTAATTGAGCCATCTGAATCTGAAGTTCTTCTGACTACTTTGAACACGTTCCTGAAACAAGAATCAAAAACATGTCATTTGCATTTCACTTCAAATAATATTAAAATACTTAGTTCATCAAGCAAGGTATAATGATTCATGGACTTGTTAACATAATTTCCAACTTTGTGGATCAGAAGCAAGTAACCAGGAGTACACAATAGTAATTTCATGAGCAAGCATCATCAAGGCAAAACAAATGTGATGAATTAAAATCAACACAAGGGTCTAGACCACTTAGAGAACTGAACAATAACCAATGATAACAGTTATTTTAGTTGAAAAAAACAAAAACAGGAATACCAGCTGGCTAGAGTATAAAATCACTGTGAAGAGCTACAAATTACCCATTTTTCATGATCTCAAGACATTGAACACCATTTTCCCAGACAACTACAAAAATCCGTAACCCAAAAGCTCTTTGAAGAGCTAGGTTTGTTATAAGCCTTTTGCAAAAATGACTATTTATGATTATTGTAATTTTAAAAGCCACTCATTTGCATAGCACTTTAAACAAGAATAAAACTTAAACCAAATAATTATGATTCATGGAGACACAAACCCAAATTTCTAAACTTTGTGGATCAAAATATTCTTAAGTTCATGTGAAAGGATCAACACAATGCAAAGCAGGGGTCAATTAGAATCAACAAGAAGGACTACACCCACTTAGAGAAACGAACAATAAAAACTGATCATAATCACTTTAGCTAAAAAGAAAGAAATACCAGCTGGGTGGAGTATCAAATCACTTTGAAGGGCACTTCAAGTTGTCACCTTTTTTATGCCCTCAAGATACTGAACATCATTTAATCCATGCCCACTTCAAAATACAGAAAGATGGAACCGTACATAACAACCCAAGCCAAGAAAAATGGAAATTGCAAGAGATGGTAAGTGATTACCTTGAGAGAACTTAACAGTGGAGCAGTTTCTGTAGACTGAAGAGTCAACTATAGATTTGACTGTCGAGTGCTAGCTCTGGATAAACCCCTGCAAGTGCAATTTTTTCGGTTTCAACGAGAATCTGAAAGAGTGAAGACAGGAATATCCTTTTCTTTCTCTCTCTCTCTAGAGAGTCGTTTTATATAATTTGGGGAGATCTCGATGGTGGCCCAATTGAAAATCCTAAAGTACATTTTGAGCCCAAAAATAAACATGATGATCATGTATAGAATCTAATTTCGGGTCGAAAGGTTTTGGCCTGGGTTCACATACTCTCACCTCATATCAGAATCAAGACTAAAAATAAATAAAAAAAAATAAAGTTGCTTTTGATTCCTAATAAAAAAAAAAGTTTCCACTTTAGTTCTTTTCAAAAAAAAAAAAAATTGTCTTCAGTTCCCTAAGTGAACTCATTTAGTTGAAATTGTGGTCTCACAAGATCAAAAAAGACTTATATTAGTCTCTCAAAAGGATTAAAATGAGTTCACTTTAAATTTCTTAAAGATCTTGTGACTAATTTTTTTTTGTAAAGGATTAAAGTGGGATCGTGTTTTTTGTTTTATTAAAAAAAATCAAATCTCAAATTAATCTTTTAAAAAACTTAAAAATGCATGAGATTTGAAAGATGATGATCGGAGGTGAACAAATCTACGGAACAAAGGTAAAGATGACTGGTGAAAACAAGTTCAGCACTTCTAATAGTCCAATGATAACACAATAAAAGGTGTGTGTGTAAATTTCTGGAGATGGTGAGCATTCTTTAAGGCCCAAGAATACTCAATAAGGTAATGTGTATATGATGATTAGCACTGTCCTAATATATATAAGCCTCCCGAGCAATGTTGTTAATATTGAGATTTTAAGTAAAATCGGAAGGGAATTAAAAAATCATAAAATGTAAAATTGTAATGTAAAAAAATCGTAAAAACGTAAAAGTGTTTGGACTATTGGTAAAATCTTTTTGATGAAAAAAAATCGTAAAAACGTAAAATCGTAATGATAAATCGAGATTTTAACAACTATGCTCCGAAGGACGATTATAGTAAAGGAAAGTGGCCCAAGAATGATTATCTTGCAGGGATTATCTTGGAGGTGGTGATCCTAGGAAATATCTATGGTACTACTGCTGTATTATTTACTCAGTGCATCTATTCAATAAAAAATGAAGAATGACTATCATATTTGTATGAAAAGAAGATAAAAATATTTTTTTATCCAAGTGTCACTTGTTGAATGACAGATGTATCTACTACAGGTATACAGAAGATGATCTCGTGATCCTATGGGAGGAGGAGGAAGTATTGGATCGTGGGTCTATACGTCCGAGGTTGGCGGGCTCATGGCTTAGGCGAGGGTGATTTCCTCACGTGGGAGACCCAACTCCAAAATGGGCTTATCAGACGGCCTCTAGATGCTCCTAAGAATAGATAAAAAAAAAATAGAGAATAAAGATAAAAGTACAGGTAGTGATTGCATAAAAGAATTGGTATTCGAAGAATGTTTTGGTATTGAGAATTTGAGATTAAAAAAAATAAATGATTGAATTATAATAAATTTACAATTTCAATCTATTTGCTTATAATGTAATTATCAACAAAAAAAAAATTTCAATAATGACAATCAACATGCACTTTTTTTTTTTTTTTTTTGTAATAATCAACATGCACTTTACTCTTTAATGTTCACTATGTTGACTAGGGGTTGTAAATGAATCAGGGACTTTTGGCTCGACTCGTGAAGGCCTGAGCTTATTGAAATCATGCTTGGACTTGTATAGAAGCTCATTTAATAAAAAGGCTTCATGCTCCAATTCAAAAGCTCGGTCTTAGAGTCTCTCAGGCTGGCCAAATATATTAATTTTAATTTTTTATATTTATATTAATTTTAATTTTAATTTTTTATATTACTTGTGTAACCTTCTCTCTCTTCTAAATCCATTTAACCCATTTTATTGGTTAAACAGACTTTTTGAATGATTTTGTTCTATATTATGCTGTTTGGATATACATTGAATTTATGAATATTTATGGAATTACTAGTGCTGTTTATTGTATATTTTGTTTGGATAAGTTTTTGTAGTCTTATTTTTTTTTAAACAAGTTAAACCAGGTTTTTATTTTTTTATAAATAAGCAAAGCCACATGCCGATAATTATATTTATAACAAGTAACAAGTGTGGTCAAGCTGACACATTTAAACACAGGCTTAACCTTTTTAATCGCCCTGTTAATACCCCTACTGTTGACAGAGGATATTAATTCGAAAACTAAATTTTGGAACATATGCCCTAATGGGTGTAGCTCTTAGAGAATCCGGGTTCGATTCCCACCAAATACGAAGGAGCGAAGAGCTTTAACTATGACTAAGTCTGCACTAATGATTAATCATATAGTCAACTCAAAGAGTTGAAACTTGTGAGTAGGGGTGGCAATTTGGGTTGACCCCCCGACCCGCCAAAAATAGGGCGGGGCGGGTTGACCCGCCAAAAAATATGGGTTGGAAAAATGAACACATCCCGTTTTATGGTGGGTTGGCGGGTCAACCCGTCAATTAAAAACAATTAATTAAAATTCAAAAATAAATTATATTTTATGAATTTTTCTAATATTATTTTATTTTATTTCACACTTCTCTATATTTTTTTAGTCTCAATCTTAAATGTATACTAATATTTGTCAAACATTCTTTAGGAATTTATATATAGATAACATTTGTCATAAATAAAATTGTTATTCTTTATTTTTTCTAGGGAGTACTAAGATAAAAAAAAAATTGGAAATCACGAAAATTTAAGGACTAATGAAATACTACCTAATTATAAAAATAAAAAAAAATTATAACCTAGCGGGTCAACCCGCCCCGCAGCGGGTTGAACCCGTTTTGACCCACTTCTAGGCGGGGCGAGTTGAGGTGGGTTGGTGGATTGAAAACCTCAACCCAACTCGCCCCGATTTGGCGGGTTGACCCGCCGGGCTCAACCCATATTGCTACCCCTACTTGTGAGGATACTTGGGGGTCAACTTGCCTCAAAGAGATAATTAGGATTGGTATATAAAAAATAAAAATTTGGGCATATATTTATAAGAAAAGTTATACTTGCCACCAATTAAGTTTATCATTTCTTACCATCAAATCATAACCGTTGATTTTCGTTTATCTTACAGTTATAATCTATTGAGAATTAATAATTAATTAGAAAAACAGAAAAATATTTCTACAGTTAATGCAGATAACTTATCTGCATTTACTTCCAAAACGACGTTGTTTTGGGATTGAAATATTAAAAAATTATAATTATAAAGACTATAATAATCCTGAAATAAATTAAAATTACAAAACATTATGGTTTCTGCTCCAAAACGACGTCGTATTGGACTTACTGCAGATAACTTATCTGCCGTAACTGCAGAAAAAGCAAAATAATAAATTAAATGATTGGATCATGAACTTCCCAGCCTATAGTTTTTTTAAAACAGCAGAAGTTGTTGATCCTCAATTTGTAATGGAAGGATATCGTTCATATTTAGGAGACGATTAATTGCTTGCTCATGGTTATGGGAAAATTCTATCAGAATGTCGAGTTGATTCATAGGCCCAATACTTGGTTCTGACCTAAAGGACCATATACGGTGCAATACTCTTTGCGATTGGGCTCAAAGATGTATAGTAAAATATCAAATTATGGTAATTTAGTTGGCATCAAGGAACTGAGCAGTCGAGAACGAGAACATTTGTTCGATTCTTCCCAATACCATATTTGAGAGGGGTTTAAAACTTAATCCCGAGATCCGTTCCGAATCGAACTAGTTGTGAAAAGATGAACAAATTGAAAAATCTCAACAAAAAAAAATGTATGGCAAAATTGTTCAAGGTGAACAACCTTATGTCTTTGTGGTGTTGTGAGCTCAGTTAGACTACTCTATATACTTTATTAACTCCATGCTTTTACTGCTAGAAGAACATATGTAATACAAATAAGGCCATTCTAATATGTTCCCAAATAAAAGATATACATCAACATATGTCTAAGATTGACTATGGTATTTGTAATGGAAACGTCTTTCATACAAAACAATCCACCCCAAAACACCAAGAGGGAAATGAAGGGAAAAGATAAGAAAGGGAAAGAATTATAAATAAAAATAAAAAAAATGAAAATATGCTCTACTAAATTTTTGTTGTTGATGAATTATGAGTTATGACTCATTCATATTCTCTAAAGTTGCTTCCTAAAAGACATATTGAAATATTTGCGGTCTCATGCAAAGTTGTGACAAACTAAAAACTGCAGAGGCATACCAAAGGATTATGATCAAATAGATTTACTTGTTGACCTGCACATTTAAGAGGAAACACAAATCAGGCTTCTCAAGACAGTAGCATAAATACAACTTGAGACTATTACTTCTTAAAATACATGAATGCTTTTATAAATGATCCATTATAGAAATCTTCCTTTTCTGTTTTCTCAATTGTAATTGATCATAGGACGAGTATAAAAGTGCCTACTTAATCTTTCTTATTGGATATGAATATGATTTCCATTGTCCTAGCCATTTTCTAATTTACACAGTTTAACAAGCCTTAAGCTGTTAACACTTAACAATTGCTCCTCACTTTACAATACTTCAGGAAGAATAAAAGAGGGAGAGTAAATTGAAAAAACAAATTGGAAGTTCCTTCTGGGGGAGAGTGATTTTCCACCTTTCATCTTGTTTGGCTTGAATGTATTTTGCATGTAAAGCTGGTTTCAATTTTTTGTGGTTGGTATGACTGTTTCAAAAGCTTCCACTAGCAGCTCCACTTTTCTTTTCCTAGCTGGGGTTAATTTGGAAACAACCTGTCGAAGTGCATAATCAAGCATCCATTCTTCTGTGCCTTTTCTTTCTTCCATGTCTTGATGCCTTAAGTGAACTTTTTCAGCTTCTGAATCAGGCTCTATAGGTAGATATCTAGGCCCTCTTGGGTTGAATTTCCTTACTTTTTCCAATGCCTTGATGAACCTCCTAAGCAGGATCACTTTTTTAAGATTGCTCCAGCTTCTAGACAATGACTGGTTTGGTTTGTTTCCCTCCTTTGGTGCTGATCCTTCTTCTTCTTGTTCTTGGTTTATTCCATTTCCAGATTCCATTCTTTCTTCTTTTTGATTCAGGCCTCCACTGCACACTCTTTCAGTTCTGTCTGAATGTTTGGAGTTGTTTGAAACTGTGTTGTCTGGTAAGTGGTCCTGAACATCTGGGAGGATTGAATCAATTGCTTCTTCTACCATCTTGATGGCTTCAATCTGTTGGAGTTCAACTTCTGGATCAACTACAACATGATCTTTGAAGTGCATATCTTGATTAATCATAGGTGTACTTTCATAAGAGACAGAAGTTCCTATTGTTCTGCTGCCTTCATACCCTGACTCTTTCTCATCTGCTCCATCAATTAGTGACTGGGAACTGTTTTCAGCTGCATCTGATGCCATGTGCTTATACACCAAGTACCACAGTCCATTGTAACTCTGTTTCTCTGGCTGAGTCTCAGGCTCTCCAACAGCACTCATAGGAGCTTCAGATTGTTCATGGGTAGGGAACTCTTCAAGACTCCCAGTTTCCAGCTTAGCTTTTTCAATCCTTTCTTTTCTGTCTTCTGTTTGTTCATCTAATAGGTTTGAAGGTGCTCCTGAACCAACCAAATTTGATCTAAGTGATCTGACAAGTCCTTCTAGGATTGAACTTTTAGACACAGAAGTTTGCTCCCTATTATCACCACTTGGATTCTTGGTTTCAAAATCTCTTCCAGGTGACTCACATTTGATATTTGGGTTTTCTGCATGCAAATTTGATATAAAATCTTCTGGAACTTCATTGGTTTGAGCCTCCTCATGACAGCTGCTTATAATTTCAATTGGCTTACTTAAGGACCATGATCTGGAATCTTTGACCTCTTCAAGATAAATATTATCATTGTCATTTGAGATTTTCTCCCCATTTTCATGACTGCTGGCTAAATCTTGCTTTCCATTTAAGTCTTCTTCAGTGGCTCCAGATGCAGGCCTATTCTTCACTGTGTTAGCCCCAAGATAGTCAAGACTGCTTTCTTTGATCACAACGGGAATGTGAAGTTCAGGCATTGGATTATCACTAGCATTATCTGCAAATTCCATAGTACTATTATGAAAGCATGATGTTTTTCCAAGAAATATCTTAGCAGAATAACCATAATCCTTTGCTTTGTCAGTTTCTTCCTTGCTATGATCTGAGGAATCATCAAGCGATTGAATTGGATTTGCTTGAGATTGCACTGTTGCAGAAGACTCTTGGCCATTTTCGGCATTTTGAAATGGCAAAATTGTTTCAAAAGCTTCAACTAGAAGTGCCACTCTTTGCCTTTGAGCAGGTGCAAGTGTAGAAATAACCTTTTGAAGTGCATAGTCCAGCTTCCATTCCTCAGCATTTTTTCTCTCTTCTGCTGTTTGGTGCTTGAGAAAAACTTTTTCTGCTTCTAAGTTAGCATCTGAAGGCAAAAGTCTTGGTCTTCGTAGGTTGATGTTTCTTATCTTCTCTAATGCCTTTACAAACCTTTTCAAGAGGATCAACTTCTTCAGATTGCTCCAGCTTTTTGGTGTTTTTTTGTCAGGTTTGGTCCCCATCTTCTGTGCTTCTTTAGGAGATTCGGAGCATGTTGAGGCATTCGTTTCTTCTCTCTTGCCTTCACTCTTTTCTAAGATCACCTCATGTGAACCAATCCCTCTAGATTTGAAATGATCATCAGAAGAAAGGTCTTCAGGTTCTGGGAGAAGGATTTCATCAAATGCTTTCTGCACTAGCTCAATTACATTCTTATTTTCATCATCCTTATCCTGATCAGTTTCACAATAATCTTGACAAGAAGAGCTGTTTACTCCATCAAATAGGAGAGCATCATGCCCACTTCCTTGTTTGTCCTTCTCATCAAAAGGAAGCTTATTTTCACACTTTCCTGTGTTACTTAACACTGCATGCTTATACATCAAGTGCCACATTTTTATATATTTGTGATCTCTTTGCTGCATTCCATAGGCCACATCAGTAGTGCTAGCAGGTTTAGGCTCTTTCTGTGCAGAACTCATCTGCAGTACTTCATAATCTGGCTCAAATTTTTTGCCTTTGGTAGTTACTTCTCCCTCCAACATCTCAATATCAGAAGCAGAAAACATGATTGCATCTGTTGAAGTTGATTCCACAGCACCACTTTCATCATTTTTCTTGCATGCAGCTATATTCTTGTCATTCCCTGCTGTCTCAGTCACCTTGGAATCTTCTTCACTGTGGATAGTTATGGTTTTCTGAGTGTCTTTCCTTACATTACCAAACTTCTTTGATCTAGTAACAGGTTGACCATCCATTTTCATTATCTTTTGAGTCTTCAACACACGCCTCCTCATTGACACAAAGCGCTTCAGTGGAGGCAAATTGCCATGGCGATGACCATGAAGAGAGCAATAAGTATATGGACAAACCTTCATAGCTGATACTTCTTGAGAACCACTTCCCTCTTGTGGGAGCTCAATGTGATCAGGGAAATGGGAACCTTTGAGAGTGGAAGAACAGGTGGCTTTATGCAAGCTTGAGTCTTGGGATTGAGACATCTTCTTAGGGCCTTTCTCCATGGAAGAATTCTTTGATTTGAAAGTCGGCATTTTTGTTAAGAATCTCACAGGCTTCAAGCTTAATCTTCTGGTAATGACTCTCTGGGATTTGTTACCAGCATAGGATTCAGATTGCATATCACTTGTACTCTTTCTATTCTGGCCATCACTGCCATAAATGGATTCAGAATGGTTTCTTTTTGATTTTTGGCCCTTGAAAGTTGCAAGCTTGATTGATCTTGATGAATTCAGTTTCCTCTTTGGCTCAGTCCTTCCAAATAGCTTTCTGGTCACACTCCTCTTCAGTTTCAAAGTAGACATTCTTGTTAAAGTCTTGTTTTTGATAAGTCTTTGTGTACTCTGCACAGAAGCAGCAAATATATGACATTTTTTTCTTTTTGCCAAAAATTGAAACTACCCAAATTATATTTACAAATTCTCAACTTTCAAAATCAGAAAATTTACCTGAAAACTATCCTTTGCATGAGAACTACTAGTACCCTTCATGTAATTGGGTGATGCATCTGGCTTCTCAATTGGTGGGGTTGGAGGCACTGAATTTTCTGTGCCAACAGATGAAAGAATTGAGAGATTATCATATTGGGGTTTCCCTCCTCTAGAGGATGATGATCTCATGCTTGACATTCTTAGAAGCCTTATTGACCTTACTTTCTTCAGTTTCTTCCTTGACTCCAATCTTCCTCTTTTTTCTGGCTGGCTGGAAACAGATTCCTCAATACCAGGCACACTCTTAGGTTTAGCATAATTATTGTAGCTGCTTTCAGTTTCAACCTTGTGATTGCTCATTCTACAGAATATGTTACAGTTCATAGAATCAAAATTATGGGTTGAGTAAAACAACATGTGACACTCTATCAAGAAAAAAAAACAAATGAAGAAAGAAAAAAATAAATGTCTGGCACCTGATAATGAGTTGTGATTATGCTTGATAAATAGCCTTTTTTTTTCTTCTCTCTTTCTTCTTGCCTTTGTTGATGTGGAGGGAAAATAGTGTACCTTCTGGAAATAAAGAAGAGAACTATTGTAATGTGTTCTTTAAGACAGAATCAAGAGTGAGGAGATTGCAAACTGCTACAGTTGTCTTTGTTTTCTGAGTTGTAACTAAACTAGGAGGAAAAAAAAAAAAAAAATCTATGGCTTTTGGTTTGTGTTTAGAATTGAATGTGTCAAAAGATAAAAGAATGTGAAATGGGACATGAGGTGCTTGACCAGTATGCAGAAGAGGGATGAGTCTGCTGTGTTGAATTGACTTGGCTTTTGGTCAATTGGCTTGGCTCAACGTGAAAACAACTCAGTTATATTTGATTACTTTTTCATGCTTTTTTAATATCCAATTATTGGACGGATTTGTAGAATATTTCTATTTACTTTCTAGGTGATACATCCTTGAAATTTCTTATATTATAGAAAGTCCTGTTCAATGTCATTAATTTAATTCCAAATTTACAGGTATGCTAATTCTAAGCAACGAAATAGTTAAATTAATATCATTTCCATTTCGGTGTTGTCATTTTTATTAGAATTTCTTATATGATAGAAAATCATATCCAATGTCATTGATTCAATTCCAATTTCCCAGATCTACACGAATGCTGCTATGCAACAAAAAATAATGGAATTACTATCATTTCCATTTGCGTGTTGTCTTTTTTACTCTCTTTTTCGTAATATTATTAATAATCTATTAAATATTAGATCTTAAGATTAATATATAAAATCTACCATTAAGTAATTATAACCATTTAAAATCTTGATTTAAATCTGTTTTTTTTATGATTTTTTTTTATATTAAGATTTTAGATAAAATTCTGATTTTAACTACCATGATTATAACTATACTTTTTCTTTTTAAAACGCGTTTTAGACATTATTAGCATGGGTGACCCCCACCAATTTGCTCTGGAATCTCACATCCACCTGTAAAGGCCTAAACAAATAAACAATGTCATGAATGATTGTCCTTTTTATTTTCCCAAACAATTAAATACTATATATTTTATAATTTTCTTTGAAATTAATTTATTTTGTAAATATATACACCAAATATATTGATATCTTTAGAAAAAGGAAATTATACTTATAATCAATTTTTATTTATAATCTCTTATAACTATACCTTAACATTTAATTTTCGTCAATCAATAATTATTATTTTCACAAATCAAATTGATTAATAAATTTCCTGTAATTTTTGAACAAATAAGTTTAGGGAGAACAGAGATTATTTGTTTCAAAACTAGGTCATATCACAAGTTTATAAATGGTATGACCTAATTTTGAATGATATCTATTAATGACTATTAATAAGAGTTTACAGTAGAAATCAAACTTGGACTTTTTTGTCGGTGGCGAATTCATATAAAATATGGTACTAGTAAAGAAGAGATCTGATTGCATATTATAATGAGCTTTCCCATCAAGTGACGCAGTTCGAAATAAACCCTAATACACCAACCATTAGTTGGGTCTATGCTAACCTATTTGGGTTGGCTTTGTAAAAAAATAAAAATTGTACCTTATTTATTTTAAAAGTGTTTTTTTATAAAAGTTAAAGTTATTTATATTTAAAAATAATAATTTTTTAAAAAAATATTTAACTTTTGATTTTTATTTTTTTAGAAGCTAAATTTTTTAACTTTCAACAAAATAAAATTTTACTTTTTTGTGATTTTTACTTTTTTTTTTCTAAAACAGACATTCAAATGAATTTCATAACCAGAAGTGTTTTTTTTTTTTGAAAAAAAATAAAAAAAAATCAGTCACACATGCCCTTACTCGACAACATATGAGGATAACCCCTTCTCACTATTAGTATTGGGCTTATAATGCTTGTCTTATATCTGATATCATATCATTAGATAAATTTTTACATCATAAAATTAATTTTAGCTCACATATTGGAAATTTTCAACAATAACAACTTTCAGACAAATTTTCTCGTTATTATTGGATTTTGTTTTGGGGGTTGCTCTTATGCTCACATTAGCAGGGGATTTTTTTTTTTTAGGGGTTGCTATTAGGTCCATTATTGTACCAATGGACCTTTGATACGGACTAACCCATCCATTGGGCTATAACTCACCCAAGTCAGGGCCGAAAAGCCCATAGAAACATGATGATTTCCTATTTTCCTTGAGAGAGGATATTTTGACTACCAAAAATTTCCACTACCATTTTACTACCTATCTAATTACCATTGTATTAACATTTTTTCTCTCTTCAAAAACTTTTTAACATTCTCTCTCTTTTGATCCAATGATGATTTGATAGGTAGTAAGGTGGTAGTGAATACTTTTGTTAGTCAAAATATCCCCCCTCATTTTCCTTTGATGAAGTTGAAACTTGAAACAGCTTTTCAATGTCAATCAGTTTATAGTCAGTCGGGTCAACCCTTATATTGCAGCATTATTTGTGCAATTGACCACTAGAGTAAATAGATAAACAAAAGTTAAATATTTAAAATTCTGGAAAACAAATGTCAAAACAAGTCATGAAAACAATAAAAATATAATTTAAAAGCTTAATTTGTGCAAGATGAACATTCTGTGTCTGCGTATCCCAAAGTGTAATAAAACCTCAAAGCTAAATACTTCTTAAAAAAATAAATATCGGCTTGTTAATTTTACTTAGAATAAAAAAATATTGAAGACAAATATATCTAACAATGGATCAATTTAAACCAATTAACATTAACCAGGAAGTTAAGCTATATAATAACAAAACCAAACTCTATTGATACCAACTCACAATTGCATTTTTATCATTTTTAGTCTTTTTTTTGTATTTTTATCTCCTTTTTTATTTGATCATTTTGGGTATTATTTTTCTCATTGTCTGATATTGTTTAATTTTTACCTAATTTTATGTATTTTTCAAATTTTTCATTTCTTATCCTTTTAATTTGTCAGAACGATATGAGAAAGGGTAGTTTTGGTTAATAAGCCACTTTTACCGTCCGAGAAAAAAGGCTTATTAAACAAAACAACTAAAATAAGCAATCATAATAACTCAAGCCCCTAAACAGGATTAATACCTCTAGGCCTGCGAATATATGACTCGTTAACATAACCCAGCCCATAAACTGAAAACCCTTGACCCAAACCAAAACATGAAAGGACCAAAATCTGACTTTAAGGCACCATCACTCTAAACGAGGTGGTGTTCGTGGGAACAGTTACCAAAGTGTCACTGTTGGCCAAAAAAATTATCAAACTGTCACGTCAATAGTAAATTTTGCCAAAATGTCACGTGGAATATTTCGCTACACTGTGTAGCGAAATATGTGTGTAAATAATTCGCTACACAGTGTAGCGAAATATGTCACGTCAGACTGCTCAGAACCAAAAATGTCATGTGTCAAAATTGAAGAAATTCGCTACATAGGGTAGCGAATTTCTACAATTTTGACACGTGGCATTTTTGGTTCTGACGTAGCATATTTCGCTACACTGTGTAGTGAATTATTTGCACACATATTTCGCTACACAGTGTAGCGAAATATGCCACGTGACATTTTGGCAAAATTTACTGTTGGCGTGGCAGTCTGGTAATTTTTTTGGCCAACAGTGACAAAATGGTCACTGTTCCGTGTTCGTGCTGGTAAACATCAAATCGGGTTCTACGAACTTGCTTGATATCTCTTTTTCTTTAAGTTTTAAGAATTTATTTGATTATGTAAATTTTTTAATTTAAAAATACTTAAAAGCTATTCATTTAAAAAAATTCCACATTTAAAAAAAAAAATACAACTTAAAAAATATTTTCCTTAAAAAAATATTTTTTAAAGAGCTTTTTTCTTTTTTCTCTACTATAAAAAAAATACTTTTTATTATAAGAATTTTTGTAAAAAATTTATTTAGCCTAACTTTTACTTATAAAAAGAAAAGAAGTTAAAAAAAAGACCTCCTAAACATACATTAAATTTCTTGTGATTCCAGTATCAAAATTCTTAAGGGAAAGAAAGAAATACAAAGAATAGTAACTTGACCTACTTAAACTACTTTTTGAATTATTATTTTTTTAGTACAAATGATGGCCAAAGCCAAAAGGAAAAGAAAAAACTAGAGATTAAAGATTGTGGCCTCCTAGATCAGAAGGGGACCCAGGCCAGAAGGAACATTATGACAAACAACCATGTCTTCCCTTGTGTTTAAAGGATTGCCCGCAAGCCAGTCTGCGCATAACTTCCTTTCTCTAACAGCATGGACAAACTTAATATGTCAATTCTTCTTGAGCCACTCTCTAATTCTGGTAACTATGTTTGGGAGTTGATCTAGGTTGCCATTGTTAGAGATGGCTTCAATGGCAAGGAGAGAGTCACTCTCTATCAATAGATTCCTTGCTCCCCAATTCCAAGCAAACTGTAACCCCTTTAGGATGGCCCAAATCTCAGCATACAAAGGATTGTAGATGCCAATCCTATAAGAGAATCCAGCCAACCACATGCCTTTATGGTCGCAGATCAGCCCTCCACAGAAAGCAAAGCTCAAGTTGTTATTCACCGCACCATCGACATTTAATTTCCACCAGCCAATGGGGGGAGGTTCCCAACACATCTGATTTATGGTTCTGGTATCGTTGGCCTGTATTTGAATCCTCAACGCCAAATTGGTATCTCTGATGTATTTGGAAATGACCAGGGTTGGGTTCGCTGGTCTAGAGAAAATAGGCATATGAATTTCGTTATTGCTCCACATCCCAAGATGCCAAATTGTAGTGATAAAAATGTCCTTCCACTCGAACACCTGGTTGTGTCTCCACTCACCCGACAAATTGCCAGCTACATGCCTTTATGGTCGCGGATCAGCCCTCCACGGAAAGCAAAGCTCAAGTTGTTATTCATCGCACCATCGACATTTAATTTCCACCAGCCAATGAGGGGAGGTTCCCAACACACCTGATTTATGGTTCTGCTATCGTTGGCCTGTATTCGAATCCCCAATGCCAAATTGGTATCTCTGATGTATTTGGAAATGACTAGGGTTGGGTTCGCTGGTCTAGAGAAAATAGGCATATGAATTTCGTTATTCCTCCACATCCTAAGATGCCAAATTGTAGTGATAAAAATGTCCTTTCACTCGAACACCTGGTTGTGTCTCCACTCACCCGAC